CCAGACTACAAGCACACTAGCCGACTCAATAGACCACTGTAGTTGTGTGTCATTCTGTAGCCCTCGTTATGCCCATATTAGGAACTCCGTGTCTAAGCTTCATTTCTCTATGGCCAGAATGAATAGGGCTTTCAAAAATCGCTTCTATCGCAACCTTTGTTAAATAAAAATGTTCAGAACCCGATACGTTTTATCCTGCGTACACTAATATTGCTACATGTGAGCAAAAGCTACTGCGCATCAATTTGATGTCACTCATATCATGCCTTTCAACCCTCCATGAAGCTGAAGTCCGCTCACATTTTCTTGTTCCACCTTAAATGGCACAGCAGTTCAGAATGTAACTCCCGCACCATTTAAGGTGGAACGGAAAAAGTTGAACAAAAAGCTGGCAAATGTCCTGAGAAAGTGTGCTCAGAAAATGTTACCAGCATTAAAACAATAATTAGGATATTTGGGAGCCTACACCATCTTATCACAGGGTCAGCAGTGATATTAAGCTGAGTCTATACTGAATTAGCCTGAGTGCAGGTAAGTTTGTACAGCTTTTCAAATCAATCTATAAACAGAAAGGAAAGATCTAGTATGTTTCAGTGAGTATCAGACAAAGAACAGAGAACTGTAGGGAAACCTACTTCTTTTGTTCTGACTTCTTTTCATCTGCCCTCAGTCTGTACATGGAAATGTTCACTGCCACAACCTGCTTAGGGAGGCTGCCAGTCTAATGATGTGAATTCAGTGCACAGTAGCTTTAGCTTAAATGTAGCAATATTCATATTTTAACTCTTTCATGCCTCGTAATTCGGAGGTGGTATTCGAGAGAAAAATGTTCACAGGACAAAACATATCGGGTTCTGAACATTTTTATTTAACACAGGGGGCGATAGAAGTGATTTTTTGAAAATCCTATTCATTCTGGCCATAGAGAAATGACGCTTAGACCCGGAGTTCCTAATACGAACATAAGAGCATGGCGCCGACTACAAAATGATGACACGACTACAGTGGTCTATCCCATGGCAACAAACATACCTTGACCAACTGGCATAAAGCTGCTTAAGAAAAGCTGTCATGATTAGACAGTTGGTACTGCTCACCAGATGTTCAAATGTGAGGTTGAGTTTCTTTCAGAAGGCTTTCAGTTTGTAAAGTGTAAAAAAATGGGACCTTAACAGTTAAATCATTAAAATGTAGCTGATTTAAAATGTGCATTAGCTAACTATGTTACATTATTTACCTTGAATCAAGCAGCGCTGCAGTGGAGAAGCTCGTCAGAAAAGCACATCTGTACAGCTGTGAGTGAAGAAAGTTTCATAGTTTTGATCCTCATCTGTATTTCAACATCAGTCTCTGCAGCACAGTCACAGCAGGAATCACATCCGAAGCTAATTCGAAGAGTTCACTTGTGGAGTTTTATGTCTTCTCTGAATATTGTGTGTGGCTGGTTGAGCTGTAGTTAAATGTCCTCTAAAGCCTGAAATGCACTGTGTGATTTTAGAAATCTTGTTCTTTGGTGACTCACACTATACGTTTTAATAGACCATCATGTACAGACAAGGCCTATGATGTAAAGACTGTGAAAGATTAATACATTCACTCTGTATGGTCCATGCTACGTGAAATGCTCTGTCTGTGAACAATTTCGAATAAAGCTTTCATTCAAAATAACAGGCTGTGTACCGAGTACTGAGCAAACATGTTGAGGAACTGAGCAGCACTGTTAACACTTCGCACTGAAGCTAAAAGCCAGGCAGTGATGTACATGATAGGACACATAATTGGATAGGTCTATACAGCCTATTTTACAAAAGAAAATCACCATATTAATGTTTATACCTCACAATTAGGCATATATGGACTTTAGTAGAAAATTTTGTCTTTTTTGCCTCCGTTTTGCTAGCCTACGTTTGTCCACCTGTATTGGGGAAGCAGTTGTGATTGTGTTTGTGTGAGTTAAAAACAGGCTAAATCATACAGTGAATTCTTGGAGGGAATATGCTTAGGCAGAATGGTTAAAGTGACTTGCGACTTTGTGTCCGACCTCCACTGAGTCAGTAACACTTTGCTGTGAGAGCAGACTCTGATTCACTGCCAGCTTGAGTCTTTTGTTCATTAGTATGACAACATACATACACTCAACTTATGTCATATGGTATCAGCTGGTATCAGGTGTTAGTATCTGTGTACTTTTTATGAGTGTAAGTAAAAGAGCATGGTATCAGTATATACCCAAAACTAGTATCTGTGTTGAAGCATCCCTAGTGAAACCCATTAATATTTTGAGCTTTGCACATATTTTTTGCACAGAAGTGTAGCTCTAGCTCTGTCATTCTGCTTATGATCTGTGTTACAAAGATCTGTTTATGTGAGCAGGATGAAGGACTGCAGGAAGGTGTTTTAATATGCAGACTATATAATAATGTTCAGTACATATAATAATAGAAATGTAAAGGTTAGAATGTTTTGCATCTTGATTTATCATTTAACAGACTTCAGAAGAATATTGAGCTGCTTGAGCCAGGCAGTAGCAGTGGTGGATCTACAGTGTGGTAAAAGTGCTCGCCTCCCCAATTCTGCAACCCCTTAAATATAATGCAATATGGTATTAAACACAATGTGTCTATATTCCCTTCATAAAAAAATCTTAAAATGGATAATAATACTGTGTAAAAAAAAATGAAATCTGTTATTTAAGTGTCGTGCAAATCATTCACACGGTCAGTCATAAGCAAGAAATCGAGACATTTCCATGTGTACAAGCCACTTTCCAGCTCTTAATGGTGCTGGTGTAATAGTGATTGCACTTTTTTTTTTGATGTTTGCTCTGTGGTCACGGGGTTTAAGGTTAGGGTTAGGATTATGGATAGTTCACTATGTAGTACTAATAGATGTGGGTGAACATGTACATGCCACCCTACCAAAATTCTCTGTCACCCCTTTGCCATCCCTGGTAAAACTTTCTAGATCCACCACTGGGCAGTAGGTGGAAAAGACAGGGTCTGGAATGGGACATCACGGAAAACTGTAAACTTGGAGGATGAGGGATTCTAATGCAAATTCTGTCAGCCCTCATTCTTTCAGTGATGGGTATGCTGCCAAGAGAACCTGTGCCACTAGACAGGAAGCAGCCCAAACAAGGTCAATTAATACATATTTTTAGGCTTGATTTTGAACTTCAATTCACTTCACGTTTATGGAAGTGAATACAGATTTAGGATCATTGACATTTAGACCTCTACAAACACAGTTTGTTTAGTACCTGCTGTTGATTGAATTACACTTTGTAATCTGGTATTCTAATCTGCTGTAATTCCAACCCTGTGAAACTCAGTTTTGGTTTGAAGCGAAAAGACATTTTACATCATAAATCATATGACTTACCACTTATCTTACGTGAACTTTCATTTTGTTCTAACAGCAGAACGATAAGCTGGCGGAGTTATGAATTCTGAAGGATTTTAGTGGGATATTATGATTAAGTTAAATACGACATCTTGCAGCTTGGTCTAAAGTATCTGCTGTTTGTTAAGGCACGTGATGAGCTGCTCTGACATCATTTTGCCAAAATGCAAAGTGCAAGTCTCTGGCTCGCCTTTCAGTTCCTTCAGTCTCTAAGAATTATTAATGCCACGCCTGCCTCACAACTACTGAGCATTCACTGCGTTCAGTATGTCAGTGAAAATGAAAGTAATCACACAAAGGTACAAAGGTAAAATACAAGTGCACCGTGTATTGCACAATCCTGACCTGGTGAAAACGGATATTGGTTTCAAACACATTTGTAAATCATTTATTACAGTAAGACAATATGTGGCTGACAGTAAAAATGGAAGAAGCTACAAATTGTATTGACACTATGCATAGTGGCTGAATGTAATGGAGTAATGTGTCTGTGTTTTAGGCCTCAGGAATTATATTAAGTAGTATTCCTGAATATGTAATATTACACTGATGATACCTGAACTGAAAGTAGTGAAATGTAAACACAAGTAATTACATCCTTACTTTATGTACACTATCTGGTATGTGGACACCCCTCTTAATTAATTGAGTTCAGGTGTTTTACCCACACCCACTCCTAACAGGTGACTAAAATCAAACACATACAATTTCCATAATCAAACTTTGACAGTAGAACCGGTCGTAGTGAAGAGCTCAATGATTTTCAACATGGCTCTGTCATAGACTGCTACTTAAAAGCATCCTATGCTCCGCCCCCTAACTGTCAGGAGCTTCATGAAATGGGTTTCCGTGATCGAGCAGCTGCATACAAGCCTAAGGTCATTACGTGCAATACCAAGCGTCGGCTAGAGTGATGTAAAGCATGCTGCCACTGGACTGTGGAGCAGTACAAACATGTTCTCTTTGCTGTTTTGCAGGGTGTGGGCTCACCCCTTCAGTTCCACTTGAAGGGCAATATTAATGCTTCAACATACAAAAACATTTTAGACAATTAAATGTTTCCAACCTTAGGAACCCTTGTGCACAAAGAGAGGACCTTAAAGACATGGTTTGGTGTTTGATGTGGCCTGCACAGAGCCCTGACCTGACCTTGGGGATGAATTGGAATATCGATTGTGAGCCAGGACTTCCCATCCAACATAAGGCTGACCTGAAAAATGCTCTTTTGACTGAACGGGCACAAATTTCCACAGACACACTCTGGAATCTTGTGGAAAACCGTAAAGATGGGCCAACTCCATATTAATACACATGTGCATGTAATACACACTGTAATGGGATGTCCAAAAAGCTCATACAGATGTGTTGGTCAGGAGTCAACATTCTTTTGGTCATGAGTTTAGTGTTTGCCTTTCAGAGATATAATATTCCAAAAAAGTCTTTTATTATATAAAACATCAGATACAGTTAATATTACCAGCTTACTCAAGCCAACAAATATTGCAACAGTGACACTTCAAAAACAAAACCTCTTTGAGAGTGAAAAGAATATTTATCAAAGCGTAAATATGCAGAAATATACAATAAATTAAAAAAGATTTCAACACTTAAATGCACCGATTGTCTATTGATTCCAGCACCTTTTGGGTAACAAACAAAATGAATTGTTGCTCCAAGTCGTGCTGCTCCAAGTCGTGTTGCATTCCTTCTTGGGTCTGAAGTAGAGTTTCTTGGTGAGCATGGAGGTGAAGCAGGGCATTTGTTTATCATTTGCAGCACAGCGTCTGGACACTTTTAGGTTGATGAGGGTCAGGAGCTCAGTGAACTCCAGAGTTGAGCCATGCTCTTGCAGTGTTTCACACAGGTCCTGAATGTAGAATGAGCCAGTGTATATGTTGCGAAAGGACACAAATCCTGTTCATTAAAGAGACAACATTAAAATTAATTTTAGCACTAGGCTAATTTACATATCTCTTACCAAATAATGATATTACCCAATGAAATGCAAATAAAACTACTCATAGAACAAAATGTCTTTATTATTATTATTATTATTATTATTATTATTTACAATTTTGATTTCATTAAATTCTTATGTGAAAACTGCATTAAATGTTTAGAATTACACTATTGATTTTGGACATAAATTCATGTAGGAATCAATTTGAATTTAATTATATTTTGTCTTGAAACTTTTGTGTTGCTTTTGTTGCAAATGATATAATTTCCAACCACTAATTTCACCAAATCAATGGATAAGAAAATAAAACAGAAGATGTTTTTAGGCAGGTGAAACTCCTCTTGATCAACTTCAGTGCAAGATTCCTACTTTACTGCTTAGTCTTAGGGGTTTTTGTGTTGCTCTTTATGTAAAGTGACCTTGGGATTTTGAAAGGCGCTATATAAATGTAACTTAAAAATACAAATATCAAAATACATTATTTACAAATGAGAAAATCAGAATCTGATGTGTCCAAACTTCTGACTGGTAGTGTAGCTGGTGTTTGTATGCTGAGACAGATCTCACTCACCCTCAGATACACAGTAGCACATGAGGAAATCTGCCCCTGCTGGGAGTGTACATAGGATGGCAGCTTTCTCCACCACCTCACTGGACATCTCGCTGTCCCCTCCCATGGGGGTCACTGCATTTTCATGAACTGTACCACGGCATGCCTACATTTACAAACCCAGTATAAGATTTTTTTTTATTTATTTAATTTTGAATAGTCTTGTGCTGTTTCATACAAAATAGTGTAAATGAATTGGAAACATTCCTATCTGGAGCTGCTTAGAATAAAAAGAAAGAATAAAAAGCGACTTTAATTAAAGCTAAGTTTAAGTTAAGTTAAGTTAAAGCTGTCTGAGGAAATTTTTTACATGATGTTAGTCACCTGGAAGATGAAGATCTTGGGCTTTCCTACAAGGCTTCTGCATCTGTCTCCTCTGAAGAGTGCTGTAATTTTCTTAATGTCAACCTTCTTATCATGGGCAAAGACATGGCCATCTTCCCCATGACTCAGGAAAACACACACAAAGCAGTCAGCATCTGTATGGTCGGCCTCAGCGGCTGTGATTAACGTGACATTTCACTCAGTTTACAGTAAACAGAAAGCATTTCTCAGAAAAACATTGATATTTTTAAATGAGATGGTGATGAAGAGATGGGAGTGTGTACCTTTTCTTATTATTCGCAGCATTTTCTTCTTTTTTATATCATCATATGCTTTGACTTTAAACCCTAACTCTTGAAATCTGAAATAAAAGATGTAATTTGGAAAGGAAACATTAAAAAAAATGGTTATTCTCTTGCATGCCCTTTAAATTAATGTCGTTTGCAGATCTAATTTAATGTTTTCGATATGTTTTTCCTCTGTATTTTCTCCCCAATTTAGTCAGGCCCAATTCCACTCACTAGCTAGGTCTCCTCTAATCACATGGTACTGCCAGCTCTGGGAGGGTGAAGGCTAGCACATGCTTACTCAGAGTCATGTGAAGCACCACCACATCTTTTTCGAACTGCCATTATTCATTGGACAGCTCAACTCGCCAACTGTCAGTTCTGCTACGTCAGCTATCAGATGCCAATGCTAGCTAGCATCCCACTGAGTGAGGGAGAAAAGGGAAGGTCATCCTCCACCCAGAGATCACCATCGGGGATTGAACTCACCACCTCCTGATCATCATGACCTGCCAAATAAACTTCCAAATTCAGAAATGGCAAAGCTAAGACTAGTTAAACAACAAGATCGGTGGATTTCTTCAAAAAGAAAACAAAAACACACGTAGCCTATGTTAACAGCATTAAGCAGTAAAACGTGTCTGGATGTAGTGAAACATTAAATTTAAGCGCCTTCCAGAGTCCTGGAAGATTTGTTTAATATTTAATTACTATTACATTAATAGACATTACTAGTGCTACCTTGGCAACACACACACACACACAAACAAACACATATAATAATATATATATATATATATATGTATATATATATATATATATATAGATATAGATATAGATATAGATATAGATATACCTTCCCAGTTATTTAAATAACCCGCTGCCTTGATTTTTTGAATACTGCCTGTACTTATAGATAGTAACAGGCTTGATTGTGTAGCTTAACCTCAGTAAAAACATTATGTCAAAATAACAAAGTTACAGATAGTAGACACTTCTCCTTTTTTAAACAGCAGATGGTTGGCAATATCTTATCCATCTATCTGTCTTTTTTAACTAAAAGTCAAGCTAGTGTAGTTGGGGACATGAAAAAATACAGTTGGTTGAGATTTAGTGAGACCTTAATGAGACTGTCCTCATGGTCTAACCCAATATTACCTCCTCTGAAAGATCATGTTACTCTTTTATTTTCTGTGTAAAATAAAGCAGATAAATAAAAAGGCAAATAGTTTTTTTCCAAGTTTTCCTGAGGACAGAATAAAACTCTTGTTTGAATGTGTACCTTTCAGTGAGGTTAGCTTTGTCTGTAGCCGTACCACGACGTTGCTTCAGTTTCAACTTCCAGTCAAAATGTTCCTGGTTGAAGATGAGGGCCAGCCCTCGCTGCTTGTTGTCCATCTCGTACTCCAGAGGCAAATCTGTAACGACCACAGTCATACTGCACTTACTTAGACTTTATAGAAGTAAAGATAAACATACAAAATGAAGGCAAAACAATAAGAGAAGATAAGAGGAGAGATTGCTGAAGAACAGGACACAGCAGAAACAAGAAAAAGCAGATCAACAGCAAAATACCCTCCGGCTTTCTCTTCACTCGCCATTGTAGTCAGACTCTGAGCTTTGGTGACAAAGAAGAAGGAATGAATAAACACCACAGTGTGTGCAGTGGGTGGGGTTTTCATGGCATACTTCACAACTCAAGCACATGCAGAGAAACCACATAGTCATCTATTCCAGACACGTGGTACAATGTACTGAAAGAATGTTGCTCATAAAAGACAGATGCATTCAGAAATGAAAGTTCAGTTCGCCGGGGGTGAGAGTTCAACTATTTCATGACATAAGTGTTTCAAATAGTTTTGTGGTTGTTCAAAATTTTACATACAACTGCAACATATATATTTCACTGTTGTCAGAAGAAAACCTCGTATCTCCGTTTTTGTCGTTTTTCGTTTTTTGACATAATTAGAAAATTCCTGTTACCCTTTATGTTGTATGTAAATGTCATGAAGAATGGACCAAAAGAAATGGCCCTAAATGACTTGGAAAAAAGTATATATACACACACACACATACGTATATATATATATATATACAGTGGAGGAAATAAGTATTTGATCCCCCACTGACTTTAAAAGTTTTAATACAAAAAAATAAATGAAACGTCTCATAATTTTATGCCAGCTTTATTTTAACAGTGACACATAGAATATCAAAAGAAAAACTGAGAAAATTACATGAAATGAGAAATAAAAATTAATTTGAATTTCATTGAAGGAAATAAGTATTTGACCCCCTAGTAAAACATGATTTAATACTTGGTGGCAAAACCCTTGTTGGCAAGCACAGCAGTCAGACGTTTCTTGTAGTTTTTTATAAGGTTTGCACACACTTCAGGAGCAATTTTGGCCCACTTCTCTCTGCAGATCATCTCCAAATCCTTAAGGTTTTTAGGCATGCATTTGGAAACGCGAAGCTTCAGCTCTCTCCATAGATTTTCTATGGGATTGAGGTCAGGAGACTGGCTAGGCCATTCCATGACCTTGATATGCTTCTTATGGAGCCACTCCTTTGTTTCCTTGGCTGTATGTTTTGGGTCGTTGTCGTGCTGGAAGACCCATCCACGACCCATTTTCAGTGCCCTGGCAGAGGCAAGGAGGTTGTCACCCAGGATTTTGCAATACATGGCCCTGTTCATCTTCCTGTCGATGCGGTGAAGTTGGCCTGTGCCCTTAGAAGAAAAACACCCCCAAAACATAATACTTCCACCACCATGCTTGACGGTGGGGATGGTGTTCTTAGTGTCATATTCTGTATTTTTCTTCCTCCAAACACGTCGAGACCACAGCACCTTCTCCCAGTCTCTCTCGGAGTCATTAATATGTTCATTGGCAAACTTGAGGCAGGCCTGGGCATGAGCCTTCTTGAGCAGAGGAACCTGGTGTGCACTGCAGGATTTTAAACCATTACGTCTCAGTGTATTACCAATGTTTTTTTTGGAAACTGTGGTCCCAGCTGCCTTGAGATCATTGACCAGCTCCTCCTGTGTAGTTCTTGGCTGATTTTTAGCCTTTCTCATGATCAGTGAGACTCCACGAGGTGATATCTTGCATGGAGCTCCAGGCCTAGGTCGATTGACAGTAATGTTGTACTTCTTCCACTTCCGAATAATTGCATCAACAGTTGTCACCTTCTCATCCAGCTTCTTACTTATGGCTTTGTAGCCCATTCCAGCCTTGTATAGGTCAACAATTTTGTCCCTGACATCTTTAGACAGCTCTTTAGTCTTGCCCATGGTGGAGATGTTGGAGTGTCACTGAGTCTGTTGGCAGGTGGCCTTTTATACAGGTGACCATTTGGGACAGGTGTCCCTCATGCAGGTAACGACTTCACTGAGATTAGGGTGTGTCAGTGGTCTGTGGGAGCCAACATTAGTCATGGTTTTTAGGGGATCAAATACTTATTTCCCTCAATGAAATGCAAATTATTGTTTATTTAAATATTATTTAATTTTCTAGATTTTCTTTTTGATATTCCATCTCTCACTGTTAAAATGAAGCTACCATAAAAATCATAGACTGTTTAATTATTTGTCAGAGTACAAACTTTCAAAATCAGTGGGGGATCAAATACTTATTTCCTCCACTGTATATATATATGAAATATCTGTTTTTAATTTATTTTATGGGTGACGTGACTGTCGGTGGTAGAAATTTCACTTTCTGTTCCAGTTCTGCTGCTCTGTGCCATTGTTTGTGGTGTGACACGAGTGAAAATGAAAGTGTTCTCTGTGTGTGCAAAGGGGAAACTTTACCATCAGTGTTTTTTAACAATGACCTTACCAAACCTGACCATGACAAGGAGTTCTTTAGCAGTTCTTCAGACCAAAGTTTCTTAACCTTGCCCCTGCTGACTCACAGCACTGCACAGTTTCAACGGTTTCCAGCTCACAAAAGGCTCCATAATCAGTTTATGTACTGGATCAGGAGTGTTGAAACCGTGCTGTGCTGTGGGTCACTAGGAAAATAACTAAGAAACACTGCTTTCCTTTAAATGCATTCCATTCATTACTGACATTTTGGCCCGATCCCATTTCACCCCTTGCCTCTACCACCCCTTAGCCCTCTGTTTTGTGTGTTCACGTCTAGGGTTAGGGTGTCCAGTTTGTGTTGAGATAGAGGGGTAGGGTGAAGTGTTAGGGCTACATGGCCCTCCAAACTGAGGTTTTTCAGAGGCACACTCCAAACGGAGTGTTATCAGAAAATAGAAAAACTGGCAAGATGGCTGCACAAATGTGAGAATTGTCTCTGTTAAAAAATGACCATAATCATTGTATTATCTTAGTTTAATGTCGTTTCAGTGTATTATGGTCGTTTTCTTCATAACAAGCATAATAAATCGCTAATAGCATGCCAATGTTTTGGTAGCTATCTACCTAACTTCCCGTTCCACCTTAAATAGTCCAGCAGTTCTGATGCCTGAAGCGCCAGAATGTAACTGCTGCACAATTTAAGGTGGAATGGGAAAATTCAAACAAGAAGCTGGCGAATAGCTGACATCACCTTCATATCACTGAATAATTAGCGGTGGGTGATAATAAATAATTGTCTTATTTCCCCTCTTTGAAGGCATTTGGTGCCCTAAATGTAACTAAAGCCCAGCAGTGAGGTTGCTGAACTTTTCCCTTCTTTGTTATCACTGAAGATGGGCCGGGTCGCCTACAGAGCACCGCTAGTAGCCTGTTAATGAAGCAATTTATTATTATTATTTTTTTTTTTTTAATTTGAGTGTCCCATTTTGTAGGGATTTCAACCACTACCCCTTGTAACTCAGTTCAAAGGGGTTAGGGTGACACTCGAAAACAAGGGGTAGGGGTGAAAAAAGAGATGGGATTGGGCCTTTATTTAACTTTTCACAAGATCTGTCCTTTACTTGAACAGTTACATTGCTTCTTTCCTACTGCTTTCCCAAATTACTATAATTTAGAATACAATTTAAGTTTTAGTATGTGTTATTTTTGTGGATTTTGTTCAGACAGTACTACACCCCTATGAATCTTATGAATATTTAGCTTGGGGGTTAGCTTCATAACCCTCATCATGTAGTCTGCTCAGTTAGTTCAAACTTCAGTCCTCAGATATTCATGATTTTTATAAGAATTTAAGATGTATTAAGAATTATGTTATCATCTATTTAAACACAAGACATGAATTGAGATAGTAATCAACTAAATATATATGAAATCATAATTTATAGGGTACTTTCTATTCAGAGATGGCTTGTTTAAAGTGAAGTTGAAAATGTAAAAAATTAAATGTATCATTAGTTTAATTTTTAATTAAAACAAATGCTGTCCAATGTTTTAATGTCACTACTGAAACACAAAGTTTTATTCTGTGGGCGGAGACTTATTTGAGCAACACTCCTGCATTTTAGAGCAGGAAGTGAGACTGCATCCCTGTCTCTCATGGCCACATGGTGAACAGTAAGATCTCATTGTTTTGAAGTAAATGTGTCCCAAAATCTGAAAGTCAGTGTGGAACATTAGGAACTGTCACTACCGAAACACACATTTTGTGCAATTAAGTAAGCTTTTTTGTGTTTCAGTGAAAAAGATGTGTGTAGAACTGTTGAATGCTGTGTTTTCTAGTCATGTGCTCAAAATCAGAGTAAATTGTAACTTCTGAAACAGTCACTACCGAAACATTTGGTAAAGTGATTTTTTGTTTGGTAGTAACAAAGGTCATAACAAAGCAGGGCTAACCAGGGTGTAATGATATCAGTCTACATATGCTAAGAGAGCTAAACACCAAACAGCTTATGAGGGAAAAAGAGGAAAAAAAAAGTGACAAAAACAAACAAGAGGGGGAGAAAACAAACACACAGTCACTGACATATAACAGTACCAAACGTGAAAATTTATTGCATCACATGCTGTATTTATAATACAAATCTTGAAACATTGCTGATTGTTTAATGCTCTTTGGGAGAGTTGGGTCTGAGTAAAGGAGACTCAGTACTACCACATTTCTCCAGCACTGAGTCAATGAAGAATCAGATAGTTTTGAATCTGACTCTTCACTCCTTTTTGGGCTTGAAGTAGAGTTTCCTGGTGAGCATGGAGGTGAAGCAGGGCATCTGTTTCTTGATTCTATGGGTGCGTCGGGACACCTTCAAGTTCACAAGGGTCAAGAGCTCAGTGAACTCTAGAGTTGAGCCTTGCTGTTGCAGGGTTTTACATAAGTCCTGAATGTAGAATGAGCCAAGCGTTGTGTGGCGAAAGGCAGCGAATCCTGTTCATTTAAGAAAGGACAGTAGAACATTCATATAGGATCAGTTAAAGATGCATCTTTTCAGAACATGTTTCAGTCTAGATTCACATGTATTAGATAGGGTTAGTTACACTGAGTTGTCAGTTTATTAGCTACACTCAACTTTTATCTACACTCAGTGACCATTTTATGAGGTACGTCTATCACATAGGTGCACTGTTTAGGTATGCAATTTCATGTGTTGCTGCACAATTTATCAGCTGCATTTGCAACCAAACATAAAGATCCACAGCTGACCAGATATTTGGGTGGTGGACCATTTTCAACACAGCAGTAGCATGTGTGGCGCTGCTATAAGTGTGTCAGGTGCGGCAGTACATTTATTTGATAAAGGCTAAATTAGTTTTCTTCCCAATCACTACAGTCAATTATAGAGACAACACATGCATTACATGCTTCTGTACCAAGAGTAAAATCAGTGGCCAACTCCAGTCATGAAGGGCCAGAGTCCAGCAGTTTGATGAGTTTCCTAGCCACACACCTTATTCATCTGAGCAGCTTGTTGCCAGGATTTGTGGGTGTGTTTAGAGCAGGATAATAACCAAACTGTGAGGGGCACCAGCACTCTAGAACCAGAGTTTGCCACCTCAATATATATATATATATATATATATATATATATATATTGTTTCTGTTTTTTATGTTCGTATTGGTTATGTCCTCCTTCTTTGTCCTCTACTAAGTTTATATCCTTGGTGGTGAACTGTGTTCTTACTTAGTTCTTATATATTCTGGATTGTAGATAACAATCATCTTCATCATCTGATATCTGTACCATATTCTGTTTATTCACTGTCTTTAAGTTCAATAGGAGCAACTATCTGTATCTCTCTGTGTGTTAATTGACTCTCTTGTATTTTAACTCACCATCTCAATAGCTTGTTTCCAACTTGCACGCTGCTCTCCCACAACTATTTCACAACCACTGAACTCTCATATGTGTGTTAATCTTTCATCTTTGTATTGTATAATACCATTGGTATTCTTATTATGTATTTGTGACCTCGTTTATTCAGCTTGTTCCTTTAAATTGTCAACTGCACACCGTTTTTCACTCACCCTCAGCTACACAGTAACACATGAGGAAATCTGCCCCTGCTGGGAGTGTGTAGACACCAGCAGCGTCCTCCTCCACCTCACTGGGCATTTCATCTAGGGCCATGCCAGTCACAGCATTGTCAGTGATGTCACCACGGCATGCCTACGTTTACAAATGAAGAATATGCTTGGTTTTATGATTTGAATAGTGCTGTTAGTGTTCAATCATACTCAGTGTTGTAATCTATTACAAATGACTATTACATTTCTCAAACTGTAATGGAACTACTTTCTGGGAAAAGTGATCTCATAACGCATTAACTTATTCTCTGTTAGTCTGTAAAATGCACACACATCTGTACCTGACAACTCCCTCAACTGAGGGAAAACCTGATAATTCTTTTTAGTCATTTATTAAGAAATACTCAATCACAGTAATCTTCATTTAAAATGGCTGACATAAACAAGGCCTGTTATGGTCAGGGGTGGAAATGAGCCATTCTGGAAGTAAAAGTGTACAGAATAGCGCAGTATATTGTTTCATATCAAATAAAATCTCAGGCTTATTAAGTACTAAGGCTTATTATTCAGTAACTACAGAGACTTCAACACAAACTGGCTGAGCTATTCTTAGGTTATAGGAACGTTTAATAAAACTTCAGGGCCCTGGCCATTTAAGGGGTTAACTGGCACGCAACATAACTAATTAGCAAAAGCAAATGCACCAGTGCAGCTCTACGTGTGTTATCCACCCAGAAGTAAGTTTTTTGGTATTGTGTTGTAAAACTGATTTGTTCTATAAGGTAGCGTAATGACTGATACCCAGCAAGCTAGCCGGCTAGTGTCAGCCATTCATTGTGAACTAGGAATCTAATGTAAACATAACTGGACAGTGGATGTTTCTGACAGTCTGCGTTAATTGGTACACCACCTTCCTCCTGGAGATCTACTTTCCTGCAGAGTTTAGTCCCAACCTGCATCAAACAAACTGTCCTGCCCCTCCTAAGGGATCTGATCCAGCCAATCAAGGACTTCTGAAGAAGTTAATTTGCTGGAGCAGGTGTGGTGACCACAGGTTTAGATAACAATGGTTTACATCACAAAGGAGTTTCGCTGGTAAAACCTGGTCATTTCCACCCCTAGTTATGTTGATTAAAAACATGAACAGCTAATGCCATCTGAAAATTGTTTCTCTGTAGTGACCTCAGTGATGTGATGAGAAGAATTTAAATGTGTTAACATACTTTTATATCTTTTCTTGTTACATGATGTGAGAGTCACCTGGAAGATGAAGATCTTGGGCTTTCCTACAAGGCTTTCGCACTGGTCTCCTCTGAAAAGTGCTGTTATTTCCTTAATGTCAACCTTATCATCATGGGCAAAGACATGGCCATCTTCCCCATGACTCAGGAAAATACACACAAAGCTGTCGGCATCTCTATGGTCAGCTTTAGCGGCTGTGAGGAGACACGTCTCAGAGAATTTACAGTAAATCGAAATCAGTAACAGTAAACAGAAATCATTTCTCAGAAGAGCTTGAACAAAACAGAAATAATTACAATTTTAAAATGATTCATTGTTGAAAGGTTGTACCTTTTCGTAATTTGTCCATCATGTCATTCTTGGTTAAATCATCAAAAGCTTGCACATTAAACCCAAGCTGTTGAAATCTGAAATAAAAGTTGTGTATTAAAAAAGAGAGACTGTCCTCTGTTCTGTAAAGTGGTCTTTAAAATCACAATCAGGAATCTCAGGAAATCAGGAAACTCACAGGCTGATCTACACTCTTAGAATTAAAGGTACTAAATTGTCACTGGGGTAGTACGCCCTCCATGGGGGTGGTACCCTCAAGGGTACATCTCAGTATCTCTAGTCAGGGAACATAACTGTAATTATGATACATAAATGTATCATAATCCATTGAAATTATATTTTCTAAGCTGTATTGACTCCACACACCCCGTCTTGTCTCCAGGCTTTGTATTTTATTGTTCTGTTTTAAAACATTAGATTATGAAAAGGTACAAATATGTACTTTTCACCTGGAAAAAACCTAAAACCTTAAAACCACTGTTGCACATTTGAGGGTGCATATACACGGTTTGTACTTTGATGAGCAAAAAATGTACCTGCACAGCACCTTTATTTCATCAGTTAGTTTTTAACTGAGCATTAAAAAAGACAAAATGAGCGACCTCACTGACTAGACATGTTCAAGCTTCTCCGAAATGGCTGTCGTCCAGGGCTGTCAATTGTTATTCTTTTTTGTTCAGATATGCCACGCTAACCTCGCGCGGCATATCTGAACAAGTTTAAACACAAGCACATCCATCATCTTCTAGAATTCATGCTGTACTGTTCCGTAAATAATGCTTTTTTTCAGGTAAGATGATTTTGATTTCTTATAAGGTGAACTTGAAAGATTTCAACACAGTACTGTTATGATTTCAAAATAAACACAATCAAGTTATATATCTAGTCATACAGAAATGTCTGGTCAAATTAAAAATTACATTTTAACATGAATAAATTACATTTTATTGTTTTGAAGTGAAAATAAGTCACAAATCCTCTACACAAATGCACAATTACTGTTTATTTACTGAATTTAACATATAGGAAAAACATGAAATGTTCATGAAAAGTCATAGCACATACTTTTATGTTATGTGTGTACTTTATGTAATGAAGAAAAAAGTCAAATTTAAGCCTTTTCTCTGTAGAGCATGTGTTAACTTATTTTTACTTAGAAAACCAACAAAACATAGAGCTGAATTTTGTCTGTAGCTGTGCCACGGCGTTCCCTCAGATTTAACTGCCAGAAAAAGCGTTCCTGGTTGAAGATGAGGGCGGTTCCTCGTCGCTTGTAGTCCATTTTGTACTCCGGGAGCAAATCTGTATTGACCACACAAATATATGAAACGTTAAAGGGGTGCATAAGAATGCATTCATACTGAACTTACTGTTAAACTATACTAGACTTATTGCAGAGAGCTAAAACGTCTAAAACGGTGTTTCTATATCTGAAGATTAGACTACTTCTACTGTCTGGTGTAAGCTATGTAAGATGCTCTGGGAAAGCAAAGTCTTTCTTGTGTTGATATAGCCTGTACAAAAACTTCAGGATTACAGTACAAAAGCCCATTTAGAGGATCCATTTTCCCTATTTAGAAAAAGTGTTTCTGGAGCTCGTAACAACTGCCAACTACATTCTCTTGTGTATTGTATGGGAGAAGTGGATCCCAGTGTCTCTGTCTGTAAATCAGTGGTGGATGTAGTACACAAATCATGTATTTGAGTTAAAGTAGAGATACCCAGGGTAAAATATTACTCCAGTAAAAGTAGAAGTCCTCCCTTTAGACCTCCACTTGAGTAAAAGTACAAAGGTATTTGCCTTCAAATGTACTTAAGTATCGAAAATAAAAGTAGCAAAAGATTAATTATGACTCTAATGTCCTATTACCTTTTTAGTAACAAGACTTTTGCTTCATTAACTCATTTTAGGTGAAAATACTCCAGTGTCACTCTTGGTAAACCAATCTTTTAACAGAATGTCATTAATTAGTCTGACGCTGATGTCTGTTAAAATTATCTTAAGCACAAAACACTGAAGAAAACAATTTCCATTAGGTACAACCGAGTGGCTCTGAAAAAACTGTTTGCAAACAAGCAAAGTTTCAGGTTAAGATTTATTTGCAACTTAGTTACAAGTTTAAGTTTAATAAAACCTTGCTTTAAACTCAGGTTCACAAATGAGTTTTCCTTTACTTTCCTTTACTTGTATTGCATCTGTAGGTCTCTGTTCATAAACATAAACTAGCAAAAACAAATTTACTCTAAAATGAAATAATGTTTGTTTAAATTCAGAAAAAAAGACACGCCAGTCACAACTGCATATGTGTGCATATTTCTATATTGTGGTCTATTTACACAAAGTTAGGTTAGGGACTCCCAAAATTTTACACTGCTGCACCGACATTGAACTGTATGGTGGCACTGGGTCGGTATGACCAACAGGTCAAAACAAGCCCAAAACAAAGTGCGTGCTGTGCCCTGATTGGTATGCTTCCTTCATGCTTTTCTCATTTTAACATGTTCCTTTTTTTATACACACATAAGCTGAAAGGAACGACAGATTTCGCATAATGTAGTGGAGTAAAAAGTAAGATATTTGACTTTGAAATGTAGTGGAGTGAAAGTAAAAAGTTGCCCAAAATGGAAATACTTCAGTAAAGTACAGATACATGAAAAAATGACTTAAGTACAGTAACGAATTACATTTACTTCATTACTGTCCACCACTGCTGTAAATACGCTGTACATGATTCACAGCTGGAATCTTTTGAACTGGAAAGTTTTTTAAAACTGTGTAACTGACCTTTACTCGTTTAGTCCTGTAACTGTTTGTACTCTGATAAATGACCACATGAATGTATAGAAGACAAAAACACTATCCTGTTTTTTCAGTGGCCTAATCATGGCACCCACCATCATTGGCTAAAACCACAGCTAATAATATCATTTTCAGTGTATAGCCTGTGTGCATACATAAGTAAGAAGTAGTCCTTCAAGTTCCAAATCTCTTTATTCATCCAGTAGCTAACACTCTTGTGTTACGGGGGGAAAGCACAATGCTAAGTTAACTTCCCTGTTACCTTTTAAAGATCACCTACCACTTAAACTGAACACACATATAGAGAATACAAACAAGATAATGTAAGTTAAGAGCTACATGAGAGAAGAAAACAGAATTGTAAATTACCTGAGGCTTTCTCTTTGCTTGCCATTGTGGCTGAATGTGTATCTGAACTCCAGTGACAGAGAAGAAGGACTGAACAGACTAACTACAGGAAGGAGTTTCCACATACAAAACTCAACACTTACCTCACCTCATACCAGGGTACAGAGAAGCCATGTAGGCACTTACTCCAGATATATGGCGCCACCTTCTGTGAATTAAAAGAATTTTCTTTTCAACTACCTATAGACTGCTGGATGAACTGCTTTAATATGAATTCACAGTAATAAAATCAAGGTATGGATTGTACTTGATGGAAAACTGACTGTACTCAATATAAGCTGTTGCTATACAAATATACTCTGTCTTACACTGATCTCCTGGGCCCTTAAAAACAGAGGGAGTGGGTTCAGCTCAATTTTATATTATAATGGTATGTATATGAAATAATGTATATGATGAAAGACACACACACACATTTGTTAGCCCACTTTTACCCTGTTCTTCAGTGGTCAGGACCCCCATGGACCCTCACAGAGCAGGTACTATTTGGGTGGTGGATCGTTCTCAGCACTGCAGTAACACTGACGTGGTGGTGGTGTATTAGTGTGTGTTGCGATGGTCTGAGTGGATCAGACACAGCAGTGCTGTTTTTGAACACCTCAGTGTCGCTGCTGGACTGAGAATAGTCCACCAACCAAAAATATCCAGCCAACAGCGTCCTGTGACCACTGATGAAGGACTAGAGGATGACCAACACAAACTGTGCAGCAGCAGATGTCGCTGACTTTACACCTACAAGGTGGACTGACAAGGTAAGAGTGTCTAATAGAGTGGATACACACACACATACACACATATATAGTAAAGTATAAAGTAAAAATAAAAAGAGCTAGGCCCAAGTATTAACAAATGTGTAGAAATTTTGGAAAAGTGTGAAAAAATATAATAAGAGACGACATTTCAACCTTAAATTTAGTTGCTAGTGTTTTAAACAATAAAAGTGACATAAAAAGCTCCAAACTGATGTGTGGCTATGTGTCACATCCCTTGCACTTCCTATAGCACTTCTGCTTTCACTACTTTGTCATCCTTTAGCAACTTGCTATTGCATAAATAATATCAGAATTGTAACACACTGATCAGTTTAGAAATCAAGTTTAATTTGACTGTGACTAGTAATTCAGTGAAAATGGTTCTATATAGCACCAAAAAGGGTTCTGCTACTGTTAAGCTTATAACAACAGAAGAACCTTTCAGTGCTATACAGAACCATTTTCAAAAAGATGCTATATAGAACCAAATACAACACAACATGACCTGAGATTACTTGGATCGAGAAAAAAACAGAAAATGCAACCAACTTGTAAGACTGAACTTTGGAGGTGTTAAAAAAGTAATGGGTCGCACCCACTCATGATTTTCTCATGTGGCCAAAGCATCGCTAAAGTTAAAATGCGTTACATTGCAGTCAATTTGGCACTAATGTAGCTTAGTGTTTAAGGTAGGCGTGTACTTTTAAGCTATCATAGTAAACCATCAGTCATGAGCGTAAAATATGTAAACTGTACTACTATGCTACAGGCCTCAGTGCGACTGTCCCACCTGCACTGCCAGTACTTACACCACTGCTCATTACAAAGACAAACTGAGTCATGATGTAAAATCATATGTATACGTATCGTATGTGTTTTATTTGTGTATAAGTTGTAGTAGGAAAGTAGGAAAATACAATTGGATTACTAGATTGAGTGTACTAAATTTAAGGGTATTACATTAAGAATTTTAAATTAAAAGTGATAAATTAAGGGTTATAAAAAAGGTACTAAATTAAGGGTACTAACAGAAGGGTACTTAATTAAGGGTACTAACAGAAGGGTACTAAATTAAGCAAGATAAAATAAAGGTACTACATTAATGATGCTAAAATAAAAGCACTTAATAAAGGGGACTAAATGAACAGCACAAAATTAAGAATAATAAATAAAGTAATAAAGATGTTTCTCCCAAAAAAAAATCAGCAGGTTGGTGGGAGTCACTGTAGCCAGGGATGCTGCAGCATGTCGTGGAGAGATGGTCTGCTTCGAGACTCCTTGTCCAGACAGCTCCTCAACAGATCCTCACACTCTGTAGAGACACAGAGAGACCATTAGTCAGAACTGTGTTTTTGTGTGAGAGAGAGACAGAGAGACGAGAGAGAGAGAGAGAGAGAGAACTTCTGAACACAAAGTTATTTGGTTCTTTGTGGGTGAAGGTGCTTCTATTTATGTTACTTATCATTTCAAAAACTTCTAGCTGGCAGAATTTTTAAAATATACAATTAAAAATATGTAAAAATAAAATTGGTAAATAGTTTCTAATGTGTATATCCACACTATGTAAGTTATTATTATATATAAAATAACCAAAATATTCATATTGCAAGTAGCAGTGTACAAGGTACTCTAAAACTTGATTCGCTTGTTTCTCCTAGGGTTTTTGAAATTTTACTTTCTAATTATTTTAGTTCTGTTTGTAACCTTTTTAGCTAAATATTTTATGTATCTATTTATTTTATCTTTATTTTTCCATTTTATGTACTATCATTATTATTATAAGTATTATCATTATTATTTATATATTTTTACTAATATTTTGTTTTTAATATTGTTTTACTGTTTCTTAATTATTATCATATACCATTTTTTATTGTTGTGTATTTCTTTAATATTTTTAAATGTTTTCTTTTATTATTTTATCTTTACTTTAGAATCTTTATTTTAACAATCAATCGGAGGTGTTAAAAAAAGTTCTGGGTCACACCTGTTCACGATTTTCTCATGTGGTCAAGGAATTGCTAGAGTTAAAATGTGTGGCATCTCAATCAAGTTGGCACAAATTTTTTATTTGAACAATCCTAATTTGTTATGTGTTTTTTTACTCTTCCTGTGGCTCTCAGCTACATTGTAAATGAGGACCCCCCCCCCTCAAGAGCTGTGTGTCTTTGTAGATGTACGTGAACACACACACAGATGTCTGGACAATAACTGCACAGAGAAGACTCTCTGCAGACTACTGTGTGTCCACACTCACCTTGCGACAGGTAGTATGGTATGTCGGGCTCCTCCCTAATGATTTCTCTGCGGTTGTGGAAGGGGAGCGCTCCAGTCAGCATGTAGAACAGCACAACTCCAATCTGCCACACAGTGCACGGCTCACCCTGGTAGAGCCTCTGCAGGTACCACTCAGGAGGAGTGTATTCAGTCTTTCCTTTAAAATACAACAGTGACGGTGAGTGGACACTTGTAGACTTTACTATAAACACTACTGTGTAAAAATCCACAATCAACCTTTTCAATAATACAGGAGCCAAAAAGGTTTCTTTGGAATATATAAAAGATCTTTGTACAATATAAAATCAGTTTTACATGGTAAATCTGATGATAACCCAGTGCAGTTTCATGTTTCACATTATTAGTAGCTGTAAAAACTTTCAAATTTCTAAAAATATCCTAAAAGTGGTGATCAAAGCTCAAGGCAGATAAAGTGACAGAACATTGTTGTAAACAGATAATGACAGCATATTATTATAATTTCATAACTTTCGATCACAATATACTTCAAATAATGAATACATCGAAAAATTCCTGTTGAAGACTAATATGTAATGGTTAAATATTTATTGTAATTATATAAGTTATTATTGTTTATAAAATAACAAATTATTAATATAGAAAATGGAATTTTAAAAACTCGTGCATCTTGAAATTCATCAGCACTAATCAACATTCAAACCTTTCATGTGTTCAAACACAATTCAAAATGTAGACAAAACCTGCTCTTCAAACCAAAGAAGGCAGTTTGATGAACGTGAAGCTGAGTGTTGAAGAATATTCCTAAAATAAAGTTTTGTCAGTGTTCACTGTAAACCCATACCACAATAGCTGGTGTAGGGGTCTTCCGCAAGAAGTCGCCACAGCCAAAGTCCAGAACGCGCACATGCGGACCCTCAGGGTCCGTCTGTATCAGAATGTTGTCTGGCTTAATGTCTCGGTGCAGGACCTCTTTAGAGTGGATGTCGATCATACCCTCCACTAGCTGCTTCAGGATTACCTACAGTATGAAAGAGGATGGAGTTAATACAATAAAAGGAGGACATTCTTGTTAGAAGGCCATCATAAAATTCATAGCTTGGTTCAGTACGATATGCTTGTATGCCAGACTTGCTTGAGGTTTCTGACACTTTATAACTTACTGCTATCCATAAAAATGGACAAAAGCTGCTTTCTTCACTAAAACACTAGTAGGAGCCATCCTGACCACTGAGCCAGAGTAAATATCATATCCTTTTTCTGTACATTTGTGTGCTGATGAATGATGATAAAGAATCTTGAATCTTGCATTCACTTATTAGCTACATTAGCCTCATAGCTGCAGTGTAGAGCTATGACTCTGTTTGGGGTTAAAGGGGAAAATTGTGTACATGTAGCTTAAATCAAAGCCAGGCTCAGTAGGGAGTGTCTTTCAGGAACAATGTCTCTCACCTTAGCTTCCTCTTCCAGTAGGTAACCAATGTCATTGATGTAGTCTGTCAGGTCCTTGCAGGGCACCGGCCGCTCCATCACCATCACCAGCTTGTCCTGCAGCTCACACCAGTCCAGAGGCGCTACGGAAACTCCTTGTGTCCGTCCGGTAACGGTCTTGCCTTCCCCCACCATCGACAACAGCACCACTTCCAATGGGTAGTCTTTCTGTTCTCCATCCAAAACCTATAACAGAGCACATTATTACACAAAGTCCTCCTCCAGACTTCACCACACCTTTGTCTTGTAGATCCACCTTGCAGGTGTTCAGTTTGAGACTTTCGCATTTTAAGGTGGAATTTGTTATCATTATTGTTATGTGATATTCTGCAGTTCAGCATTGAATCCCTCTTCGGTTTAACAGATTCACAATTTTATATCCTTCGTGTTTTTATCTATTGATGTTATATCACTACAATACCTTCAAGATATGTCATCAGAAGGGAGTTTTCCTAGTCTTTAAACCAAAACATCTCACTCCCAAGACTATTGTGGGGCTCCTGTAGTAGGTTAGCAGGCATGTTTACAACCAGTGTTTTGTTGTCTGGCTACTCCAGCGCTAGACGGCTCCCAACTCACTCGCCATAGTGGCAGTGGTGCTTCAACGCCAACAAAATGTTTGGTGTAACAATTCTTCTTTTGGAAATGCTTTTGTAATTTGGTAATTCGCTCTTCTATACATTAAATGAGAAAGATCAAGTTTCAATTGATCATGTTAATCTTTTTGAGTGACTCTATAACTTAATTATGTTTATTTTAAAAAACAAAACATTGATCTTTCCATTTTGTCACTAACAATCATAACAATACCAAAACTTTACCAAATGTTTCAGCAGTGACTGTTTCAGTAGTGACAATTTTGGCTAATTTTGAGCAGAACTCAAAAACACTAGCATTAAATGCCCAGAAAACACAGCCTTGAACAGCTGTACACACACAAAATCAACATATTTATATTACAACACAAGAAAGCTGAAAAAAATGCAGAATATATATGTTTTGGTAGTGACAAATCTTAATGTTCCACACTGATTTTCAGACTTTGAGACACATTTACTTCAAAACAATGGGGTTGAACAGCTCACCATGAGGCCACGAGGGACAGGGATGCAGTCTGACTTCCTGCTCTAAAATGCAGGGGTGAGGCTAAAATTAGGCTCTGCCTATAGATTAAAACTCTTTTTCTTTTGGTATCAATCTGAAAAATGTGGGACAGAATTTTCTGAATAAAGTTTTTTTTGCTTTAAATTTAAGCTTAAATCTTTCAACTTCACTTTTTACTAAATCAAATGGATCTTTTTAAAAACAAAAGATTAAACAAAAAAATGCAAAATATGTAAGTATTTTTTTTTTACAAGTGTAACAGGTTTTGCAGTTTTTAATATTATTATTGCTAGAACCTTATGTGAGGGTGTGAGGTCTCTGTTGAAGTCTACAGACCAGGGCAAGAGAGAGAAACGCTCACACCAAGGATGCTTCAGAAAAGGGAATTTATTGGCTAAATATCAAACTACTTTTGGACTACATTCAATGATAAACAATAGAAAATAAAACCAGAAAACAAAACAAAACAAAGTGATAGTAATGAAAGACAAAATAGCTCGAGTAAGTTAGAGTGCTTCACGGCTAAATGGTATGAGGCAGTGTGGTTTGGGAAGTCGCTTAGGAGAGCCTCTAGAGAATTAACCTAAGTATGGACGGGAATAACTATATGGCTGGATGTAACTATAACAGTTCTCTTATTAAATAAATTGGCGTCAGGGCCCTGACTGCAAATTGATGGAACCAGCTTACGTTGGAGTCGGGGGCTGACTTCAGGCGGGGTCGTCTCAGGACAGACTCGATCGAAGGCTGGAGCTCACGCAATGGTTCCTCTCCTTGCTGCCCGTGGATGCTGCATCTCCGTGCGGACACGCGCCTTCCCGTCAGTGATTGGGCGGAGGCGTCTCGTGGCCGTCTGACGGTGGAGCTTGGGCAGCCTTTCGATGGTCGATCTGTTCACAGATCAGTGCGTGGCTCTGGGTGCGATGCTGGGTCTCCGTGGCGTCAGAACCGCTCCCACTCCGCTGGTGAGGTTCAGGTTGCAATCAGGGTTCTGAGGCTGGTGATACTAATTTAACTAACTACTTCTCTTTAGCAGAATCGAAAGTGATGGATATATCCTCCCTGGCCAGACAAGAAATATCCAACTTCCTTCTCTGAGGGTGGTTTAAACTTAAGGTGTGTAGACAAACAGGTGAGTTACAAAACAAACAAAGGTTTCAGATCTGAAAATTTAGCGTTCTAATATTTCTGACCTGTTTTTCTGAACAAGGCCGGCACAAACTTAGAAACTTTGCTATCCCTTTGTTGCGAACGCAGGAATCTGAACTCAATTTTGCGGTGCACTCTGGTTTTGCTCGGCTGGAGGCCCTACCCTTTGGAGGTGGAGCCAGAGTGCTGATAGGTTCTCCTCACCTAAGGTTACTAGCTACTTGTTGTTTCCAACTCTGATTGGTTGTGCATAATTTTAGGAATGCCTTCCCCAGAATCACTGCCTCCTTTGTGTCAGCTAGTTTAAACAAAGAAAAAGAAACATTTCTATATCATCAAATTGGTTTAATTTTCAAAATCAAGGAATGAACAACTAGGATATTCAAGCATGTTTCAAAGAGAGAGTTTAACCCTTGTTACCTGATACACAACACATGTCAAAGAACACAGGTACTATTTGCCTATCATATCTAAACATGACCCAATGCATGAAAAATAAAATCGACAATAAAAGAAAAGGAACAAAGGAAGAAAAGAAAAGAAAACCACATTCAGGATACATATTGGTCAATGGTCTAAACTCATAGCAGTTAAATGGTTGGGTCTGACTGTTATCAAAGTTATACTCTACGTATTTCTAGCACTTAATAGTAGAAAAAGATACAGGTAATATTTAGGTACTACCCAACAACAAGATTAATACAACAAGTAGTATTGCTACAATACTACTTTTATAAATGTTAATAATCAAGCAGACAAGCAAGAAGTTTCTTGGGTTCCTTATACACCCTTGGGGGTGCTCTGGGTCCATGCTTGAGATCCCTAGGGACTTTAGGAAGTTATAACTTTGCCGTCCACAGTCATAAGATTTCCGCTTTTGGTATGTCTAGTTTAGTTAAAAAGAGTTCTAACAAATGGTTGCAGTTTGGAGTGGACATATACCTTAGAAATGTACTTTCTGTTACTTAAAGATAAGGTTGTCCACAGGACTTTGGAGGGCCATGTAGCCAATAATCCAGGGAGGCGTTGTCCTGTTGCCCTCTAGGTCAAGGGAGAGGGGTGCTGGTTCTTGATTCAGCTGTAAATCTGACTGAGTCTGGGGTTGGGGGGTATTAAGCCGACAGATTTACACCTCAATTCCAGACTTCCTGGAGCCAAAAGGCCCTTAACTTTGGGTTGTTGATACGTTAGAAACACTAACCTAGGCCAAACCTAGTTTCAGCCAGTGTTCGCTACACAAGTCAGGGGTAGGGATTTGAGACAGCCACCTCCCAACAAAAAGCAACCTTTAAATGATGATTTTATGTACAACCCCTCCAAAAAAGTTGGGACACTGTGCAAAATGTGATGATATGCAAATCATTTAAACTCTATATTTAATTGAAAATAGTACAAAAAACAACATATCAGATTTTGAAACTAAGAAAATGTATTGTTATTTTTTTCTGTTTTTTTTAAATATATGCCTATTTTGAATTTGATGCCAGCAACATGTTTAAAAAAAAGTTTGGATAGGAGTATGTTTACCACTGTGTTACATCACCTCTTCTTTTAAGGACACTCTGTAAGTGTTTGGAAACTGAGGAGACCAATCGCTGTAGTTTTATAAGCAAAATGTTTTCCTATTCTTGGTTAATAGAGAATTTCAGCTGCTCAACAGTCTCCGGTGTCATATTTTTCATTTCATAATGCGCCAAATGTTTCAGGGGTGATAGCTTTGGATAGTTTAGCACCCAGATTCTTTTACTGATGAGCCCTGCTCTTATAATACATGCAGAATGTTTGTCATTGTCGTGCTCAAATAAACAAGGCCTTCCCTGAAAGCCTCCAGCTTTTCTGTATCCTGTTTATATGTGATTCATTATTATAACTTTTGTTAAGACATTTGTAAAAACATTTGTGGATGCAGTGATGAACTGTGTTCACAGACATTGGTTTTCAGAAGTGTTCTTGAGCCCATGTAATGATTTCCACTACAGAATGTGTCTGTTTTCAATGCAGCACTGTCTGAGGGCCTGAAGATCACAGCCACTGAATATTGGTTTTTGGACTTGTCCTTTGAGTACAGATTTCTCTCGATTCTCTGAATCTTTTAATGATATTATGTGCCATAGATTATGTAATTCCAAAGTTCTTTGTTATTTTTGTTGAGAAAAGTTATTCTTGAATTTTTGCATTATTTGACAGCACAGTCTTTCACACAGTGGTGAACCGCTGCCCATCTTTCCTTCTGAAAGACTCAAGCCTTATTGGTGAATGAGGCCCATTATTAGTAAGTGCAAGTCACCATATAACTTACTGCTGAGTGTAATTCTACGAAGAGTATTGTTGCTCAATTGAGCATCTTAAAAGCTACTTAAGCCAGTTGTGTGGGACCCCTTCACTTCACATTTTAAAGAAAATCCAACAATACATTTTGAGTGAAGGTTTCTTTTTCTTAAGGAGGTGTGGAATAAAACTGTTAATTCCACATGTGACAACTTTAGAAGTGTGTAATAAATCTCAGGGCCCTGTCACTAGAGGTTCATGGACTGGGGGCCTAAGCCTGTACTAAGGGGGTCTGGGGTTATGGTCCCCATAAAGAATTTTTTAATGGTTCCAAAATGTTTATAATGCACTTTTAGAGTTGCAACATCCAGGAAATGTCAAGTACATCAGCCATGTTAAGTAAAAATGCTTATTTGATCAAACAGGCACACAGTAGATCTGTTTGTATTAAGCACAGAGCCAGTATGACCAACATTATATCCATCCACTTACAACAGGCACAGATCAAGCAAAGGTACTGAAGTCAATCAATGCTCTCTCCTCTCTCTTAGAAAAGCTGTGAGGTCCGAAACACATTATTCAAACAAACAGATTTTAGGTAAGTTCAGTCTCAGTTGGTGCAATTAGAAAGAACATGATGGTCTCAAATATTTTCTCAGTGAAGTTCAATTAAATTCAGTATTAATTTTAACCGAAAGCTTATACGACTCTCTCTCTCTCTCTCTTGCTTTCTTCTTGATCACTAACCTCCATCAGATCTGTTCCTTCAGTCCTGTCAGTCTCCTTCAGCTTCTTTCTCCCCATCTTCCTGTGATTAGTAATACAATAATCTCATTAAACTCAGATTTACAAGAACTAAAGGAACCGCCCAGAAAAAAACACAACTTACCAAGAGTAGCAAATGCTGGCGCTTAGCCCAAACAGCAAGTGTTCTAGAAACATGATCCTACAACACAAACACACTCTTATATCACTTTATTTACAAATGAGACAATAAAAATCATCTCTACTATTTTCGCTCTGCTTCAGGTCAAACTCCATATTTGAGGACAACCATCGACTCTTGAGTCTGTTTTCCTTTTCTTAGTTTCTGTTTTGTTTCCATGAAGAAACAAAAAGAGAAGCGCGTCACTGAAGGAACATGAAACTCCATCACTGTGAGTGAATGAGATTCTCAACTGCAATGGCAGGTAAAATCCAACCTCTTCAGATGTTTCAGTGTGTCTAAATACTTCAAGTACTTAACTCTAATAGTGTCCAGACTTTGCTGTAAACTTTATTTATTTACTTATTTATTTATTTTTCAGAAAACACTTCCAACTCCCCCTCAGCTTCTAAAAAGCAAGTTGGTACAGGACAGTCAGCACCGTCCAGGACCTGGCTGACTTTTTCTAAACTGCTGGTATCCTCTGTTCTAACTGTAGTGATTGGATTACAGATATGTGTCAGGAAATGTAGCTGTTCATGTATTTGGTTTGTATTTCTGTATATTGACATTGTAGATATTTTACAAAATGTTCTCTCTAATTCTTAAACCCAGCCTCACAGATAAAACATATACTGTATAGGTTAACTGTAACATTATTTTCTAGATAGAGACATGTTAGTTGTATATAGACTACAAGTTACTGTATAATTAATATTTCATTTTTTACTCTAACAGGCTTTTGTGTGTTATGAGTTGTGTGTTGTGCTGCTAAGAAAACAACCAACTGACAAAGTTCAAAATTTCTCCCCAGACTTTCAAGCAACAGAACAGCTCTGTGAGTGACAAAGGTATGTACTCTAAAATCAGAACAATGCTATAAAAATACAAAAACACAACTAATTTAATGATTCAACAGCGCAAGAATTAACTGATGAGCTTCGGATCCTGCTGACTGGAAAGACGGGTGTGGGCAAGAGTGCAACAGGAAACACCATCCTGCGCAAAAAAAGCCTTCAAATCTGAGATCTCCTCTTCCTCTGTAACCTCACAGTGTGATAAAGTCAGCAGCAATGTGAATCAAAGAAACGTCACTGTTATTGACTCTCCAGGTCTGTTTGACATTTCAAGCAATTTTTGGCAAGGAGTCCTCCAGCTACACCATGGTGCTGTTCACACATGGACATCAACTTGGGAAGCAGAATATTCATCAGTTTGTATGTAACAACTAAAATCTTTTGGATTTCATCAAGAAGTGCAGCGGCCGATACCACGTGTTCAATAACAAAGATCAGGTTCCGGATCAAGTCCTTCAGCTGCTGGACCAGATTGATACACAAAAACTTTAGGAATTTGTGTATAACCATAGTTGATGGAAACCTGCCAGACAGCAGCAGTGAAAAAAGTCTGTGTGAGGGATGGATGGGTTTGTTCACAATGCTGGTGGCTTTGCGGATGCAGCATGTGGTGAAGATGTCCATGATGGAGGGGAGAGAGACCCAGATGATCTTCTCAGCTGTCCTCACTATTCACGGTCAGAGGCACTGCAATTCCCAAACCAATGATGCAGCTGCTCAAGATGCTCTCCACAGTCCCCCTGTAGAACATGGTGAGGATGGGAGGGGGGAGATGAGCATTCTTCAGTCTCTGAGGGAGTAGAGGTGCTGCTGGGCTCTCTTGGCTGTGGACTTGGTGTTGAGGGACCAGCTGAGGTTCTCTGTGATGTGGACACTGAAGAACTTGGTACTCCTGATGATTTCCCCAGCAGAGCCAGTGATGTTCAGTGGGGAGTGGTCACCTCGCACTCTTCGGAAGTCAACAACCATCCCCTTGGTTTTCTCCACATTCAGAGACAGGTTGTTCGTTCTGCACCAGTCTGTTAGCCGCTGCACCTCCTCCCTGTATGCTGACTCATCGTTCTTGCTGATCAGACCCAGCACAGTCATGTCATCAGTGAACTTGATGATGTGGTTTGAGCTGTACTTTGCAGAACAGTCGTGAGTCAGCAGATTGAACAGCAGTGGACTAAGCACACAGCCTTGAGGGGTGCCAGTGCTCAGTATGGTGGTGCTGGAGATGTTGTTACCGATGATTGAGGTCTCTCAGTCAGGAAATCCAGGACTCAGTTACAGAGGGAGGTGTTCAGGCCCAGCAGGCTCAGTCTTCCAATCAGCTGCTGAGGGATGATGGTGTTGAATGCTGAACTGAAGTCTATGAACAGCATTTTGACGTAGGTGTCTTTATTGTCCAGGGGGGTGGGAGCCAGATGGAGTGTGGTGGAGATGGCGTCGTCTGTCGAGCGGTTGAGGCGATATGCAAATTGCAGTGGGTCCAGTGAAGGGGGGTGCTCGTCTTTGATGTGCCTTCAACAAGCCACTTGAAGCACTTCTTGATAATGGGAGTGAGTACAACGGGACAGTAGTCATTGAAGCAGAACACTGGAGACTTCTTTGGCACAGGGAAGATGGTGGTGGACTTGAAGCACACTGGAACGACTGCAGTGCTCAGAGCGATGATGAATATGTCAGTAGTATATATCCTACACTGTTTTTCAAAGTATGATTTATGACCCTGATTTATGGCTCTGATTTATCACTCTGATTTATGACCCATATGATTTGTGGTTCTGTGATGGACAGATTGGACAGACATTTTAACAAGGTGCCCTCTCCCCACATTACCCATCCACCCCTCCCCATCACCTCCCTCATCACCCCCACCCCTCACCACACCTCACCCCAAAGATTTACGACCCCCTGTGCGACAGCCCGATTTATGACACCCCTCTCTGTGACAGGTCAGTTTGAGGGACAGGTCTGTCATGGGGTGGGTGTTTTACGACACCCCCTCACCCCACCCCCTCTACCACCAACATTTGTGTTGGGGGGGGGGGGCATGGCGAGGGGGTTGGTGTGGGGTGTGAATGTTGAACCCTTTCATGTAGGTTTTCACTGTTTGTAGTTTGATTGTGGATTCTTAGCTGTGTGTGTTGTGTATGTCTCCAGCGTGTTAAAAGCGCCAGAATGTCTAGACGGATGAAAAACAAAAGGGGGTTTTAGAGTGGCGTGTGGGGGGGTTAGATCGTTGTTATCAGTGTGTCTCCAAAATGTGTTAAAAGTGCCAGAAAGTCTAGATCTTAAAAACTCAATTCATTTTGAAACATTTATTTAGTTGTATTGAAACTATTTGCTTTGCTAGTTTTTTCTTATTATTTCTTTTTGTTAATGATTGCTCTGGCCGTGTGTACAATAATTCCTAGAAATAAGATTCCGGAGTGCGACCAGGTTGGTGTTTGTCCAAAGATCGTGTTGTCGGTTTTAACTATGAAAAAGAAAGCTGTTACACTATTTATTCTCACACCTGAAGAAATTGACTGGAAATACTGGGTAAAGATAGGAGAGTCACTCTTATGTGTATAGAATAAAATTCTAATTGTGCTTTTAAAGGCTACAATAAGGTTTTCAGTTACATACACAAGCAAACACAACAAACCACGCGCAGAATCAGAGAGATTCTGCAGAGATTCTGAATTTTATTTTCGTTTTGTCAGTGGATGACGCTACAAGGTTCTTCCATAAGATTGATGATCTGTTCAGGGGTTTAGGTATTTTCGGAATTTAGCTTTGGAAACAAATATTAAGTTCCAGCAAGCCTGTGTGTGTGTGTGTGTATGATAGATTTTTTTTTTTTACACTTTTAGACCTAATTGCAACTTTAAACTTTAAAAACCTCTAAGACCATATAGGTTTTTTTTTAAATAGTGTTTAACACACTTTTAGGCCTAATTTCAGCTTTAAAACATGTAAGACTGCATTGTGTTTGTGTGTGTCGGGTGGGCAGATCGGTTTGGGAGGGTGTGTCTCATATGACACCATCATTATGGCTACCCAACCAAACCAATCAAACACAAAGGTATTCAACAGGTCATAGTAAGGGGTGTGCCATGAGTAAATGGTGTATAAAAACAGCTCGCAAAGACCCTGCATTCACCCTATATACCGTCAACGGCATTGTTGTGTGCGTGTGTGTTGTATTTCGGGAACAAGAAATGGACGCCAGCTTTCTTTGTAAGTATGTACCATGCTACAGACCTTTTGCCTAATTTTCCGTTTAAAGTAATAACTAAAAGACTGTTACAATTTGTATTTAACAGGAATGTTCTTGGTCTAGGTAACTCTGAGCTTGAAACAATCGAAGCCATCAGAAGTATTGAAGGTTTATCTCAACTGTTTGACGGTATGTCACTGTTTGTTTATAGCTATATTTACTTATTTATTTATTTACAGCTCTTGATGTTCATTAAAAAATATTTCCTGCATTTCTACAGAACCTGATAGCGCATCGGCTTGTGAAAACCCCCTTGGTGAGATAAAGTTTATGTTTTGATTTTTGGTTTGGTTGAGTCCGTTGGTCTCCTAACACCACCTGGATTCGACGCTGTACCCAGCACCTCTGCGGCTTGCGATTCCCGCGCTTTGTCGACGTTTAAGCCTTGTTTAACAAGCAGTCCTGGGGGTCCGCCACAGAGTGGAAGGAGTCAAACAGCCGATGATAGCTCTGTTTCCCGCGGAAAACGTCCAAGGATATGTTTGAGCACTAACAACGGGTCAATTTCACATGGGAAACGTCTTAGGCTTGATGATAGTTACAAATCCGTGGGTAAGAAAATACTAATTAAAGTGAACTTTTTACAACGTTATTTTTAACATTAACAGTTGTGTGTAAATGTTTTTTCTTAAACTGTTTACAGATTTACACACTGGTAACCATACTGCATGTGGTGATGTGGCGCGGACAGGAGCGGTTTCGGACGTTGACACTGTCGTCTGGACTGAGGAGCTTTTGAATACGTGGGACCAGAACAGTTTCACAGAAAAGCCGGATGAGGCCGAGGATACTGGACCAATTAATACTGGACTAAATTCAATATCGGAAGAAGTGAGAGACATTGATGGATAGGGTTTAAAACCAAATCAGGAGCACGAACGTCGGGTAAGCGGCTCTTACCCTTCTAGTGGTGTTAATGAGTTTAAAACATTGCTGGGTCAGCATTCTCAAGAGATTACCAAAAATACAATTGAACAGCGTAGACAAGGTGCTCTTGTGCGTAGATTAAATAATATTGTTCAAAAACTAGCTGAAAATAATCGGGAATTAGTAAAAGAAAACCGTATACTGTTTGAACAGGTATCAAAGCACATACAGATTGTACAGGTTATGCATGAAGAACAAAATGCACATTTTAAATCTTTAACAGATGTAATATTTAAACTCAACAGGGTTTTACAGTTGAAAAATTCAACAAAATTGTCTGTTGCAGGACCATCCAAGTAGTTATTGTGTGGCAATTGAAAATATTTTTGTTCTTTACACATATTTATACCTATTAAACAAACCACATCATCAGCACGTCATAAATTATTGTTTAAATAATTATTAGTAAAAGAAAGAAACAAACAAAAATAATGGGATCTAAAAGGTGTCGGGAGTCAGACAACAATCCGCGTGTTAGCGACTTAAATGATGTTTGGGAGCAGATGTCTATTAGCGATCGATTGCAATGTTTAAATGATGAGTATGAGTCGGCTACTGGTATTAATCTGCAAAACACATACAATCAACACAACGCAAATGTTAATGATTATATCACACCTGATGGTTTGCAGACCACATTGGATAAATGGTTCTCAAATAAAAACGACGCAATACACAGCCCGCCAACAACACGCCGTAGATGCGACGATAATTATGGACATTCCATAGATTTTATGTGTAATACTGCCATAACCGATGCTTGGGAGCAGACATCTATTAGTGAACGACTGCTATGCTTAAATGATGAGTATGAGTCAGCTTTAATGTTCTTAAAAAACCCGGTACAAAACAATACACTACACCTAAACAGAGAACAGACAGGCACCGGTCTGCAGACACATAGTTTTCCTACATTCGATCCAACAGCTCCTAACTTTGGTTTATCTAGTAATGACGTGGTTCAGTTGGTGAGAAATGGTGGTGAAATAAATGGATACACTGTAGTGCCGAGAAATAGGTTTAATAGTGTTGTGCTACACAGAACGCTGAATTTACGCGATGCTCCATCCACAGACATGGCCTCATATACTGTCTATGTACACAATATGCTATCAGACATTGTGGCGTTCTCCAGGGTGTTGGCTGGTGATGGTAGTGTAATCAACATAACCATAAGAGGTGATAGTTTAACATCTGATGTAAATGCTTTGTTGTCTTCAAGAGATGGTTACAACGTTGACAGGTTTGCAGATGCAATTGAAAGGGTTATGCAGAGTAACAAGTACATTACAACAGACAATAGTTTGGTGTTGACAGTCTCCATAGCTATGAGTAAAAATGGCGGTGTTCGGCGTAAGGTGCATGACCTTGTGCACAATCAGGTGATTGATAGGAACAGAATGAACCTCTTTTGTCCAACAAACATTTCAAATAATCTGTGTTTCGC